AATGGCCCCATGATTGATTTTGACGCTAATTATAACCGACTCGCAAAAATACATTTATGCAAATAACAGCCCATAGGTCTGAGGTGGTGCAGTGGACAGAGAATATTACCTTCTCCAGCTCCAGAAGATGAAATCGTAAAACTTGGATGGCTTGAATCATCTGAAAAATTAAAATAACAATAAAAAAAATGAGCTGCTCACATCTTTTGATATTAAACAGGCACGTTTTTCCTCAATACAAGTAACTGCAGACGAGGAGGAAATATTCATGCGAGTAGCTTTTATGTGGAACTGATATTAAACTTGGACGTTATTGCAATATGGAGAGCAGGCATACGGTGCAGACATGGCGCAGCAATAAGCCTCAGAGTCAGAGATCTATTAGTGGTGAGGAAAACGTTATTCTCATATCACATTCAGAGGAAGCTAAACTACACAAAGTAAAAGCACGAAGAGAAAAAAAAAACTTTCCAGACAGAGTTCAAAGGTTTGCGACAGCTGTCAAACAGCGGCCCTTCATGTGCAGATACAACCGGGGGCCATCGTGATATCAAACAGCCCCAAAAGACGAACATCACCTCCAATTGTGCTTTTAGTTTTCAGCGCCACATGCATGGATCTCTGACGCAAACGTGCAGCTGCTATATGGAGAAATGTCAGAAAATCTTAATAAATAAATGATGCTTCTTACCAGATTATCCAATTCTGGATTTGATGAAAATAAAGGCTTTTCTGCCCGAATCTAAAAAGCAAAAAAAAAACATTTTCATAAAAAAAGCATGAATATAAACTATTATAAAGTTATACATAACACACCATGTAACATGAAATATAACGTGCGTGTATCGGGCATTAATTCTCACTTTACGCACAGCCATCACACTGTGCTAAATTCAAACATTTTTTTTACAAAACATGTCATTTTATTTTCTCCGAAATGCAGAATTAACTTTACGCACAACAGTCATGAGCTCCACACTTTGCATGTGCAGATAAGAGCTCGACCAGCCCGAGCATGCATGATTTCAAAAAAAAAAAAAAAAAAAAAGTCAAACTCTCCTGACCTGTTTTGCAAACACTGCTATGTCTTCATTGAAAGATTCCGATGAACAGACGTCTCCTCCCGCCACCCCGGGCTCTCTGGGGGTGCACGTCGCTAATTCACATTTCTCAAAAATCAGTGCAAGCAAGGGGAACAGGGGGTGCCTGGGAACACACACAATAGCAAATGTCACCAGAGAGAACAGCGCCGGGGTCAAGACTACTCCAGGCTAGATTTAGCCAGCCATGCTACTCTCCAGCAAGTCGCCCGTGGGGACTGCTGCTGCAGCCTCTGCTATTATATTATGCAGAGGCTGGGAGAAGGGCTGCAAACAGCGGGCAGACTTCTGTGATTAAATCTAAGCGCGCCTAATAGCATAAAAGCTTTAGAGTCAGTCAAACAATTTCTTGCACAGGTCTCAGTTTGGATTACAGGCGTGTGTGTGTTTGTGTGCGTGTGTGTTTGGTAAACTCCTCTGAAGCTGCAGGAGGTTGAACGTGCGCACATCCAGTGTTTTATTTATTGTTTAAGGCATCAGAGTAAACAGCTGAAGCTTCAGTGACAACATGTCTCCTGGAGTTGTGTCATCACAAGGTGAAACTGTTCAGCCTCCACAAAACTAATGCTCAGAAATTATTTTGTCAACTTGTGTAAAAAATAATAAACGACGTGCGTTTGTGAGATTTCCCTAAAACATCATACTTTTTTTTTAAATTTGATGAGGCCTGCAACGTTACACACAATTAATTAAAATTGTTAAAAGATATGAGGTTATAATTTATGCTCAAAATAAGAAAGTTAAATTCTAAAATAAAAAAAGAAATTCCACTAAAATGGGACATTGTCTCATGAGTATCTCAGTGTTATTATAAGTCATAAATACATTTTCACGAGCAGCAGAACCTTCACGAGACACAACTTTTTCTTTTCTACTCAGTTCAGTTGTCAAGTCTCACAAACATGAAGTAAACATGGCTGACGTTAAAAGCCTAAAAATCCAAACCGTGCAAAAATCACAGAACATTATTTCCCTTCTGTCTGAGCGTTCAGCAGTTTGTGCTCCAGTGTTTTCACCGGGCACTGACCCGGGGTTTCTCTCCTGCTACAAGGGACTGGCTGTGCAGCCTCTCGCCCACCCCGGCTGCCCCCTCTGGGCCTGGACCCACGAGATGCTCTCCCCGCGGACCAGGGGCTCGAACCTACCCGTATATAGCGTCTTTATCTCTCTTGAGAGCGTCGTTAACGGAGGAGCCCATGCTGGGGGGCATGGTGTTGGTGTGGGCGGTGTGCGGGTACTGGTGGGAGTGCAGCTGGGGCCCGTGGTTGAGGTGCACCGCCTGCATGGACCGGGCGCCGTGCGGGTCCCCGTACATGGTGGTCGGGATGCCCACCCCGTCCATCGCGTAGTGGGGCAAGTCTTCGTACTGCACACAACAAACACGCGGGTGAATACACAGAAACACACCAGAGTCTGGTTATAACTTTATATTAAAACTACAGGTCTGGAAAACATTAGAGAAGTTCTTCAGAGTTGTCGAAGTGACACTTGGAGTCTTGTTTTTCTTTCAAAACAGTGAAGGAAAAAATTTGCCAGCTGGGAAATAGTTTAATTAATTTCCCAAATCAGTTTTCTCAAATTGTATTAATTCAAAGTGCTGTTTATTTTTGTACATGTGCACCGAGCTGCCTTTTTTCTTTCTTTCTTTCAAACTACTGACACATGAAAAAAAAAAATTAGAAAAGAAGGGAAATAAATTCCCCAGAGTTGTTTTAATTATTTCTTATAGTTTTCAAGAAAACACTGAAGTTTAAGTAGAAGATAGTTTACGTTTTAAAAACTACAACACTGGTGTGGCTCTCAGTATATTCGCGATGACTCTTGTAGCTTAAAGGAAAAATAAAACATGAATTATTCAACACGTTTAAATTTATTAGGACTGCAAAACACTAAAACTATAGCAGCACGACTCAGTTATTATTATTGCTATTACTTCATTATTATTACTAGAGTATTTCTAACCCTGGTGTCCAGTAATTTCACTGTGTACAACTACAAATGTCTTAAACTAGTTAAATAGTGTTTCTTCATGTGAAGGGCTCATAGTTGTGCAGCATTAAACACAGTGTGATCAGTTCACGCAGCAAAAGCAACTAAACGCGTGTTGTGAGTTTTTTAGACACAGTTTTTAAACCGGAGCTGGAATTTCAAACTTTTTTCACGTGTCAGTTTGGACTCCATCAGTTTTACTGTCGTCTTTACGTTGTTGTTTTGCAGTTTGTTAAACACGATGCTGGTTCTTTACAACGCAGAGTTCTGGGGTCAGGTTTAAAAAAGATGGAATAAAAGTTTTCAAAGTGGGATCTTGAATTATTGATGGTTTTCTCTGGAAGTGACAAACAAGGGCAGGGGGAAAGAGTCAAACAAAAACAAAAAAAGCATTATCACTTAAAGCTGAGGATTTCGACCCTGAAGGCAAAGAGGTGCAAACCCCAGCGTGGTGCAGCTCCGGTGCCAAACCGAGCAGCTAAATGTGCCCAGTGTGCCTCGATCATCTCTGCGTTTACTCTGTCCACTACCCGAGCACAGATCCAGCCGCTGCTCCGAGGCAAACACTCCTGGAGTGTATGAATCAAACATTTTGTCATCACCTCATTACTAAAAACTCGCCTCGCTGGCATTACGCTAATATTACGCGTTTTCGCACTCTTCGCGCTCGGGATGACCTGACACTGAAATTTTTGGGATTTTTTTTGTTGACTTCGTGAATTTGCTCCACTCGGTGTGAAATCCGGACGGGAACAGCGTGAGGAGAAATGTCGAGATATGTTTTTGCCTCCTCGCCCTCCCCCCCTTTTCGCTTCCAGTAACTGGCCTGTCATAACTAATCTAAGAAACATCGCCGATGTGAGATATGATCACGCTCCCGATGTCTCTCCGTGGGCCGGTTCGTGGAGCGAGCGAGTGCAGCCGCGCGTAATACCGTGCCAAAAGACGACAAACATGAAATTGTGTTTCCATGTGTCAGCAGCACGGCAGAAACTTTCACCGCCGAGTGTGTGCGTCCGTGCGGGCGTGTGTGTCATCAAGCCACGTTACAGCGCAGCATTGCGTTCGAGCACGGTGGACTTAGAGAAACTTTTTAGGGGGGGATTGCCCTACGTACCCGTTGCGCCATAACCCTCCTCACTCCCTGGTCGTCCTTTCACTTTAGATAAATCCCCTCTGAGGCCAGGATGGACACGAAATGAAGAAAGAAAATCCAAATAAATGGGAAGCGGTGTCAGCCAAAAATCCCGTGTGCCTTCTTTTTCCACGCTGAAAGAAGCCAGTCCGCGCTTTTCTGCGCAAGTTAAGCCCAGGCGCGGCGAATAGGTCCTCGGCTGTCCTCGGGGGCAGCGGCGCCAGACTCCTTCTCCAAAAAACCAGGGTGAAAATAAAATAGCCCCCTCACACCGAAGCGGCGACTCTCATGGCTTTCTGCCACTCCGCCTGTCAGTCAAAACGCGAGGGCTTGTCAAAAGTACCGGATGAATGATGGTCCGACGCGCGTCTCCACGGGATCGGCACCACCTCAGTGTTAATGGTCACAATCAGAGTTAAAAAATGAAGCAGCTCTCCTCTCGCTTTCTTTGATCACTCTCGGCTCCCGGCTTGATTTTCTTATGCAAAAGCGTCTAGAGGAGATCAAGAGGAGGTGGGGTGATAATTCTGGCTTAGGCTTTCTTAAAGGAGCCACGATCGATGCTTTGCGTGTGTGTGCGTCTGCGTGTGTATATATATGTGTGTGTGTGGGTGTGTGTGTGTGAGTGAGTGAGTGCGTGTGTATGCGTGAGCCGCCTGTCCGTTTGTGTACAATGGATGTGTGTGTTGAGCTGAGGAGGAGCGGAGGATCTCGACCAGACTGCTGAAACCCGGAAGTAGTGGTGGCCATAACAGGTCGCGTCTTACACAACGCACCGGGCTGCAGCAAGTCGTGCGCAATGGAGGGGGGGGTGGGAGGACTCGGCGAGCCCGGCCAGGCGCACAGCGAGCTGGAACAACGCGGGGATTGAACAGTGAACATGCACCAGGACTCCGGCTCCACGGCTCATCCACACTAAGTGACTCCTCTGCAGCCCCGGACTCGCTTGTGAAACTCCCGATGTTCGAGGATGACGCGCACAGCCTCCACTCCTCCGCCTGCACACTTTGTTTGTAAAGACTCAATGAACCTGCTGTCAACTCTGGTGTGAGACACTCAGGTATGTTTCCAAGAAGATATGAGCTGAACCGTGGAGTACAACTTCACAATTAATAATTCATGTATGACGGACATTTATTTATTATGTGACTAAAAACGTGTTAAGTTAAATAGTTTGATAGACACTCAAGGCCTGTGGTAGTCTGTCAACTGTCTGCTGCTGGGAATCCACACTGTGCACTGGAGACAGAATCCTGTCTTGCAGGTTTTTAGACTCTTGAGGCTCATTATCAACTTGCACAGGCCCACAGTGCATTTGTCTCCACCTGTGAATTAGTATAAATAAGATTTAAGGCTTCCAAACGTGAGCTCTCCAGCAACAAATATAACTTCCATCGAGTCGTGTGGGTGCGTAACTTGGATTTAATTATAATAATATATAATATAAACGTGAATCAGTGTAATTAGTCTTTATCTGCACACAGTGTGAAAGCTGAATTAATAAATAAGCTATTAAACACGTTACAGGAGCATCGTCTTATGTCTGAGTAACAGTTCACATGTCGTCCAGCCCGCTCCCCCACAGCAGCTCTGAATGGGTCGCTCCAGTCTGCCCGGGCTGGCCAATGGCAGAGAGGCACAGAGATGGGAGCCCCCTATTGGTTCCCCACATGATCGATCCGGGGCTGATTGATCGGTTATAGGCCACATTAGCGTTGAGGCGCAAAAACAAAACATCGTCCGAGATTTGAAAACACACACTCTGTGTTTTTCCCTGTCAGTTCCCACAGACTGTGGATTCACCAAAACACAGGACATCTGACCAACATCTCCCTCTCTGTGACACACACACACACACACACACACACACACACACACACACACACACACACACACACACACAGAGAGAGAGAGAGACACACACACACACTCTCTCTCTCTCCCTCTCTCTCACTCCCTCTCTCTCTCTCACACACACACACACACACACACACCAATTTTCACATCTCTATCTTAATTACTCGTCTTCACCAAACAAGACTTTGTCACCTTCCTTCTCCCTGCTTTTGTTTTTGTTTCATTAAAATGAACACTGCGCGTGAGTGTTCACTGGTTTGCAGAGCAGAGATTAATAAAGTTTGATCAAATATTAATGAGTGTGAATTTATGAGAGGGAAACTTTAATTCTCAACTGATTCCAACAAAAGTAATGATGCGAGTGAGAAAAGTGAGGATGGAAATGAAGTTAATTAATTTAGTACTTAAAGGGATTCAAATCCAATATTATTCAGTTTAAATAAAAATGTGAATTGGGAGTTTACGTAGAAATACGTATAAGGTAGTTATGAGATAATCCAAAGGATATGAAGTTACATGTGAAGGATTATTTTTAGAAAAGACGCAGAAAGCGTTTCCAGACATTTCAATAGATGTTTCATTTGTTTTTGTGCTCATGATAATCAGCACCCAGAGCTTTACCCAACTTTTTCATTATTTCCCAGGTCATGACGAGTGAATGGAGAGTTTGTAAAAAGAGCCACATTATCTCCAGATTATGCTCACGAGGAGTTGCTGGTCGGTGACAGGCAGCTTAAAGACGCCTTTCTTCCCCCGTTCAGTGCGTTGAGCCATCGATCATCTGCCCCCGGTGCCAGCGACGGTGTCATAACATGATAATGCGGCTTCACAAGTTCAGCGGCGATTCCTGTGGCACAAAAAACCCGGAGCGGTGGGATCCGATGGGACGTTTTTACAGGCATGAAATGACGATATCAAAGCCTCCCGCAGTCCGGGGGCGCGGGCAGCAGAGACGCCAGCAAGCCGCGCAGGACGCACGGACTTTTACGCACAGAGACACCGGAGCAAATATTCTGCTGTGAGAATGTGCTCGTGGAGTTTGTTAATTCTGTGACTTTTTGGTGAGTAGAAGGTTCTCATTCTCCTGTTCATTTTCTATTTTATTTTTTTATAACTAATGGATTATAAATAAAATAAACTATTTTTTAAACTCGAATATTTTCAAAATTAAAGGAGACGCTTGTGTTTTAATCCACTTTCAGCTAATTTTGTGCGTTTACACAAGGTACACAATTTTTTAGTGACTCGTTGAGAAGGAGTATAGGTCTAAATTAACATGAAAGGAGATCACGTCAGCGCCTGCCCACTGTAAAATAACTACTATGGCATTATAAAGCAATTAAACTCCTTCAATTAGCGTCTATAAAAGCTCCACTTTCTCTCCTGGAGCTGCTTCTTCTCGTGAGGGTCAGCGCATTTTGGCATCCTGAAAGAGAGCAAGGGGAGGGGGGCGAAATACGGTCATTTCTGTTTAATCCGCTTTGCGTTGACGGTAATGCTTTGAGTCGTTTCAATAAAATCAGCAGGTATTACTTTCAAACGGCTGAATGCAAATTGACAGCGTGTTTGACTGCGGAAACAAACGGGAGCGTTATTAGATGGCCCTGTGCGCCTTGACTTGTGCGTCTGGAGACAAAGAGGAGTTGTAGTCTTCATGTTAAAGTCTGAAAACACGCGCACTGAGTAGAAATTCAGTAAATATAAGAAGTGCATCTCTCGCTGTGTTGCATATCACTATTTATAGTCACCGGCAGATATTTTTAGTTCAGAGAATTGTTCCTACAAATAGAATTACGCAAATTTGGACATTATTTTACCACCCGTGCCTGAGGGTAGAAAACATTTTAAAAGCAGCTCGAGGTCAGAGATATGAATCACATGTCCGTCTCTGTGTGACCTTCTGTATCACTGCGTAAAAAAAAAAACTAAAAAAACAGGGAGCAACTGGCAGCCCGAGGAGTCAAACTGAGGTCAAACTTTCTGCAGCCCCGCAGCTCTGCGCCCGGACGTGTTGGGATCTGCAGGAGAAAAGGCCACTGGAGTCTCTCTCTCTCTGCTTTGTGTCACCGCTGCAGAAACACAGACCTGCTGCAAAAGTTTTCACGGCACATCTAATTATATGAGAGCACGGGTGCATTATCGCCTGTCAGAATAATCAGCCGGATTCATTAGGGCGCGTTTGGAGGCATGTGAGAAGTGATTCAGTGCAGGGGAGGAGAAAAAAGGCGAAAGCAGATGAATCCAACGCGCCTCGGAGATTACTCTTAAAAGTGGTTGTAATGAGGTATAATGTCAGGTAGGCATGTTTACTGCAGGCTCACAGAACAAAAGCATGTGGTGGATTAAACTACTACGTTCAAAATATGTCTAATCAATGAAAGTGCTGAAGCCGGAATTATTTTAATTTACAGTTTAACTCACGTTATTGTAACAAGAGGCTCGAGTGTGATTTTTTGCAAAAGTTTGATTCATTCTAAAGGAGAATGACGCTAAAACCTCAGGAGAATAATTACATGGCACAGAAAACACCGTGGAAAATACAGACACGAGGTTAATGGTGTAAAATCGCAGCTGCAGTTTAATGATATAAAATATTATAATATTAATTGAAACCATGAGACTACAGCTACAGTTATTTTCTTAACTTTCCTGTGGGAGAGTTCACTTCTGCTGTTGGATCCTGCACAAATGTTCCTGTGAGCTGCTCACACACGTTACTGCTTAATCATGTGCGCCTTCTACCGGAGCTCTTGGAAATTACATGTGGTGCAGAAATGCAGAGTTCAGCTCAGATAATGAAACAACAGCAGTTTGAATTCACTGTTAAACGTTTTGCACATCAGTATTTCTTAGTTCCCTGCACGTTGCACTAAAGGCAGAAAATACTTTTTGAATCCTTAAATGAATTACTTGCTGAAGCCTTATTTATTTCTCATGATCTTTGTTTATTGTTAAACATGCTAATAAAGGTTATAACTGAGAACTGTATTTGTATTTTGTTGTGTTTCAGTTGTCCAGTGTTTTTATTTCTTCAATTCCAATCTATATTTAAAATGGTTGATTTTTAATAAAGCATGAGAAGACGCTGCTTGTTCCTGTCGCTGTGTTTACTGTTAATGTGACATGAGTCATATATTTATACAGAAAAGAGTTTTTCTTGAGTTCAAAGCGAAGCTTTCACACACGTGTTTCATAAACGACCTTGAACTCGGTGAATAAAACTGCTTCTATGTTGCGAAGTAAACATTTGAGTAACTTAAAGCTTCACTCAGCTCCGTCAAAGCCTGAGAGAGAAAAAAAAGTGCTGCTGCTTTGTCTCTGAACAGTTGATGTGTAGGTGTTGAATTAATGTGGAACATGTGGATTCATGATAAAGAACTGCAAACACAGGAGCTGCGTGGATGTGACAGCAACACTGACACCACTGCATCACGCCTATAGGTACATATACGTGATGAACAGCTGCTTTGCTTGTAGAGTGAGAACTGTGTGAAATTAGATGCATACATATATAGACAAATTAACGTATATATTCAAGCACACACACGGACACACACACACGCACACACACACACAGCAGAGGCCTGCAATAATAACTGTGCCGAATGCTGCCAGTCAATTTTCACATTGTGCCAGCGGCCACCAGGTCAGCAGCTCCACTTTTACTCTGAAAGGCTGCTGAGTCTGAATTAACCCCACAGATAAAGCAGGAGCTCATCACTCCATCACACACACCTCCTTACCTCCCTCTGTCTTTCCTCTCCCTCTCTTCCTTCTCTCTCAAGGTCTCTCGCCCTCCCCTTCCAGCAACATTTGGCACCACTGGTATTATTTCAGGTGTGCTAATGGTGTCACAGACACTTTTGCCATGAGAGGAGGAGACGGGACGAACTGAAAAGAGGAGGACAGAAGGAGAAGATGAAGAACAAAAGGAGAGGATTATTGCCATCATCATCATCATCATCATCATCATCATCATCATCATGAACTCCTCTCCCCCCCAAAAAATCAGGCTTTGGGCAAGGGAAGGAAGTCACATGTCGGCCAGTTGCACCATTCAGGGTGGAGGGGTGAGGGTGGCAGTGGGTGAATGGTAGAAGATGGGGGGGGGTTGTCACACCTCCCACTGAGGCTGTGAATTGATCAGCACCTTAGAGAGAGAGAGAGAGAGAGTGAAATAGAGGGAAGGAGGGACAGAGGAGAGTGAGAAAAAAGGAAAGATGAGGGATGATGATGAGGGCTGGAAAAAGCTGGGTGTTGGAGCCGGGCTATAAAACCAGGAGGGAGGGGAAGAAAAAGAAAAACAGAGCGATAGGAAGCGAGGAGTGAGGGAAGGCTGCAGAAGAGGTGTGAAGACTCATCTTTTCCTGGATGGGTGTGAGTTTAGGCTGGAGCGGAGAGTGGCCTGGGAGCACAGCAAAGCCTGGTGGTAATAAACCAGCCAGAAACAGCAGCTATAAGGGAAACACACGAAGGGCTGTGATTCCAAATGAAAGACGCAGTCCTATAATATTTCAAAAAACGACAAGAGATTATTAATATCTGAGGGTAGGTTCTTAAAACACAATGTGAAAATACACCAGTTGTTAAGTTGGGTCTATTTTCAGTCACTGGACAGACTTGGATTTTGACAACAAAGGGTTTGAAGGAGCTCCGACATGTTGCTTTCATGTTTCTTTAAAATGACAGATATTAAAGTTCTAAAAATCACAATAAAGCAAAGACTAAGATTTTTTTCCTCAGACTTTCCAGCGTCAGTGCAGAGAAACATTTTTTTTATGATTCTCAGAGTAAAACCATTTCTCCATGTGATGGCCACTTTCTTTCCAGAGCGGCTGGTGGAATATAAAAACCTTTACCACGACCAGCGTTTGGCTTGTGGCTGATCTGTATCTGCAGTAAACACATGGTCACAGTGAAAGTACAGTCAAAACGTGCACACACACACACACACAGGCACACACACAGACACACACACACAAAACCACTGTGCACTAATCATAGAATATTTCAAAGAAGGTGATAAGTATTTTAATTGCCCATAAACGTTCAGATTGAACTTTGACAGTCTTCAATTCTAGCAATGTCAAAAAGTTGCAAAAGGTTTGAAATATAAAAGATAAATATAAAATAAATAAAGTAGATACCCAACAAAAATATAAAAATAGTAAGTGATCATAATATTAATTTAAATAACAGCGACAATACCCAAACTATTAGTGATGAAAGTAAAATACGTTAGATAACACAAAGGACATTAAGTTCTATTGTGCCTAATATAATATTTTTGCAGCTGTGCAGCTTCTCGTAAAGTCAAATAAGCAAATAAAAAAAAAGATTGAACGATTCAAAAGAACAGAAATAAACTACTTAAAAATATCAGTTTACAAATAATCACTGTGAAATCTATGGAAATAATACGTTCCATTTGAAAATATCATGTGACTGTGTTGCCTTCAGGTCCTCTGGTGGACTGTGGCAGGAGCGAGGAGCATGCTCACTGAAAGCAGCTCCCTCACTGGTCTTAATCTTGACCTGGGGGGTGCCAAAAGGCCGGAGAGATCACATCTGACATGTATACAGGCGCGGGGCTGCTACTGATTTAGAAAAACCAACAACAGATCCTGAAAATACACTTTCTAAAGCAGCCAGACAACCAATGGAAGGGGTTTAAACGCGTGTGTCATTCTTCACATGTTGGTTTGAGCCGATCTGCAGTTGATCTAAACAAAACTCAGGTTAGGATTAGTCAGACGCTACGAGACAGTGTCAGATAAAAGGTGGGCTCGGAGATCGTTATGAGCTGGACTTCAAAATAAATCCTAATCAGTTGGTAAAATGTTGAGACGGAACTGAAAGCAAATATTTAGCATGTCGGCTCAGATACTTGTACTCCAGTTCAGCAGCGGGGCACTCGTCCGTCCTGGCAGCGGTGAATCAGATTACCAAACACACTGATTGACTGCAGCGGTCGGCGGTGAACCTACAGCCACAGCAACGTCTCCTAAACAAAGTTATCTCTGCCGAAGTTCACTAAGAGGTCAGCGGTCACATCATCTCAGATCCATCGTGTAATGTACGAGTCCGCAGGATCCCAATAAAGAAGCTTTCAGGGCATAAATTCCTGTCATAACAACAAATGTCAGAGATACGGTGAAGTGCACGAGACTGCGTGTGCCGTGCACTAACCGAGGCTCCGCTGCAATAAATGGAAGCAATTGTTCTTCTCCTTTGTAATAAAAAAAAAAATCACAAAGGCCTTCTCAAACAGAGAAACTTTTTTTTTCTGTAAAAAGTTCCTTTAAAGTCAAACACCAACTGTCAAAGAATCAAGGCAGCGTAATTTGTTGTAAATTTATTCCACTTAGCTTTTGTTAATTATCACAAGTGTCATAACCATCAAAAGACAACAACAGACGACTTGGCACTCGCTAATGTTTGACACTTCTATCTTTATACTCTTTGTTCTGTCGCTCTTTCTTTCCTCCTCTGTTTATCACACATTATACCACACCTGTCTCAGATAATTATTCCTTCCACCCACTTTTTTTTTTTATTCATCCTTGAACGTCTAAAAGCAGAGAGCGGAGGACGTGCACCTGAAACTGTTACCATAGTGTTTCCTTTAATATAAATCACTTTTCTTTATTTGTCGCTAATTCAACGCAGGAATCAAACTCTTCACCTGAGAAGGTCAGAGCACATTGTGTTTCATACTGAATGGAAAAGTTAAGTCTTTTAATTAAGGTTGCACTGAACTGACAAACTCTCATTGGGTTCTTTAATATTTGTCTGACAGAGCGATTAGTTTGTATTGCATCTTTACATACACACAGCCTTGTTTGAAGTTGTACAAAATAAATACCAAAGAATTAACCTCGAAGGTGCAAAAGGTCTCATTCACAGATTTGGCCTCAGGGTGAAAAAAATTCTGTAAATATATAAAATACACAAATAAATAAACAAGGATGACACTCAGTATATTGCATTATCTCACCCAAGGCTTCCACAACAAGCTGCTCCAAACTACACACACTCACACATCAGCCCCCAAAATATGTCTGATTGTGTTGTGATCATCCTTCCACCAAGTTTTTGCAGAATCCTGTTGACAAACAAACAAACAAACAAACAAACACACACACACAGAGGCGGGGGGAGGGGGAGGAGGGGGGAGGAACAGGTGTTTTTTATCCTCTGTCCCTGAAATGTTTGGCGGTGTCACATTTTCACTCTACACACGTCATTTAATATAAATTCAGTTCAGATGAGGTGCTTTTCGAATAAACACAAGTCAACTGGAAAACAGACTCTAAATATTTGCGTAATCCAACAGAGAGAGAAATGGAGCAGCTGCGGCCGAACCACTTGTGCTTTTCCGACGAGGGGAAAAAACCAGTGACAGAGTTAATCAGACCGAATTGACATGTTAGCAGTGATAACATTGCGCCTGGATTTGCTCCTCACCACCAAACCACCAGAACTTCCACTGCAGGAGGAGTTTATGTTCCCAGTTCCTGTCACTTTCACCAAACTCTGGAATAAAACCCTCATCAAACATCACGGCCACAGTGCCGCAATATTTGTTAACTCAAACTGTCTGCAAATCTATCTGCAGGAGGGGGGAAATAACTGATTATTCAAGTACTACACCTAACTACTTCCCTTTTACACCACATTATACTTAAACTGCAGACACACACACTACTGTACTTTTTACTCTACTACTTTTATTTGACGCCTTATTAGTTATTTTGCACATTCAGTTAATGCATCATATGATTAACAAATACAACATGATGCATTTTAAAACTTTAAATAGTAATAGAAGTTAAAATGAGCGCCTCCGCAACTACTACATCAAGAATAACATCAAATAGTATGACACATACATGTATACAGCACGGTGAAAGGGCTAATTCTACTTTAATTTTAAGTTTTAAAGTATATTTGACATTAAGAATGATGTACTTTTTCAAGAGTAAAGGATCCAAGTACTTCTCTGTTGCTACCTCTACAGGTTTGACTCAATGCTAGAAATATTTGCAAATATTTTTGACCTGTGTCTGTAAAAGCAAATTAGCTTCTTACCTGTGTAAATATAAACCTGGCGGTGATTTAGGGGCTGCACGGGTTAATCTGAGAGAGTCAACATCACAGGGCGGCACATAAACATTTTAGAGATTGACCTTTCACCCACCGGGCACTAGAAAAGAGTCTGGTGGGGTCGCTTGTCCACAACCATTACGGATCACATGCAATTTTCCCTCAGACGTTCAGACAGGTAAATTGTGAGCATGCGTGACACATGCGGTTACAGAAAGTTCCACAGACATAACCAAACACTCCTCAAAGAAACACAGGTGAACGTCTCCTCTTATACACAGACGGCTAAATTATCGATCACACAAACACACTCACACAGACACACACAAACACACACACTCTGTGCCTGTCTGAGAGCCAGTCTCCAGCTGACAACATCAGTGCAACCTGATCCGGCTTAATAAAGGTCCTTACCTGCATTTACTGCTCCGTTAAAACGCCCTCTCGTTGTTCTTCCAATTCACCACACTATAATTGCACCGAAGCTGCATATGGTCCTCATCTACTGCCCAGCACAAGATAAAAGCCAACAGGCTGCGGGTGTACAACGCAGGGGAGAAGTGTGTGTGTGTGTGTGTGTGTGTGTGTGAGCATTTTAGGGCAAATTGGACTCAACATAACTCAGGGAATAGTTAGGAAAACTGCATGATGTCACTGTTATTACACTGTAAACGCAGTTGATTTGGCTTTGAGGATTTCTGCATGTGGCGACCTCTGACATGTGCGCCGAGGCTGCTTCACAGATCCCACCTCCGTATCCCGGCTTTGAACTGCTCACTGAGAACCAGAGTGAAGTATTAACACATCAAGCCAAATTAGTCCGATAATTAGTCACCTATCCAGCACGTTTTATTACTTTTCCAGGAATATTTGGGACAGTTTTACTGTAAAAAGAGATAAGAAAACTAGAGAGTAATTAAAAATGCTAAATTAAACATCCTCCAGTTGTTTTTAGAAGGAGAGTGGGTCACTTACATCCTCGGCTGACACAAGGACTCTCTGTTCTCCTTAATGATGAACTTCAGGTGATGATTTGGCAAGAAACTAAATAAACTAAATGCACAGTTCAGTAACTGGATTAAGACTGACAGGAGATTGGCTTGTGGACAAACTCACAGTGCCTCCTTCGTGCTAATGCCAGTGCTTTTGCCTCCTCTGCCCAGTCAGGTTTATGAAAGTCAGCTGGATTAGAGCCCAGCTGGGGATCAGTAAACCAACACTCGGTCCTCAGACTCACACCACCATACATGACTTCCCAAACAAATCTCAGCGTCCACCCCGCCCTCCATCCTCCGGGGCTCCTTCACCGCTCTCCCCTCGCTGTTTTCCTCTCTCCGCGAGCTTGGCTAACATGGCCTCGCATCGCAACTCACACACAGGCTCTCCAAACACAACACACACTCTGCTCCAAATTAAAATACCAAGGCTTATTTAGCAATACTCCTCTAATGGTTTCATCCACCAATGGTTTTATCTTTGCACACGCAAACACACACGCAGCTTCTCGTCTCCAACCGAAAGGAGCCGCTCTCCTCTCTTCTT